TTTCAAGGTTTGAGTTTGGGATTTATTTTGCAAATAAATCTCTATGGAGGGGTTAAAATAAATAAAATAGACAAAGTTTTGAGACTTGTGACTTGTTTTGTAATACAATTTGGAAGGAAGGGTTGGAACTAAGTAAGTAAAATGGAAGTTTTTAGACTTGGCTTGCATACTCACTCATCAAAAATCGTATATGCGTAGAGGGGTTTGAATTAAATTTGAAATGGAGTTTGAAGTGGAGGACACTCCTCTCTTGGCATGAACGAATGCTAAATAAATAAATAGGATAGGACTATATTTGTAAGAAATTTTTAAATAAGGGTTGTTGGAATTAACTTTAAAACAAAGTGTGAACAGTTCCTTTTTCTTTCCCGTTCCCATGAACGAATAGCAAACGAGAGAAAGAGAAAAATATATAAATGATTTTCTTTGGCTGGTATTTTGCGATCAACACAACAAAGAAAATAAAATAAAATAACGGATGTGGTGGACTTTAATTTAAATCAAAATTAGAGGAGGGGAAGGCGATCACCTCCTGTGTGATCGACACATGCATATAACACCAAAAAAAAAAAATTTCGGTTTGTGCAATTTATCATCGAATGGACATCAAAATATATACATATATAGAAAGAAGGTGATGGCTTACGAAGCATTAATAGCAGGTGTGAAGGACGGTGGTGGTTGGTGACGAGGTGGTGGTCTTTGACTGCCTTCTTTTTCCTTGTTTTCTCCGGCGGATTCCGGTGAAGAGGAGGGTGGCAGTGGGGTGAAGTTTGAAACCGGGAATGAGAGATAGAGAGAGTTTAGAGAGGAAGAGATCAAGAACTAGAGAGAGGAAAGAAGTGGCTGGAGTTGTGAGGAAAATGAACAACTAACCCCTTCTATTTATAGTATAACACGTACACACATACATGTATTGCAACCATACCTCCACTTATGCATGTACCATTTTTGGGAAGACTTGCACACAAAGAAGGATAGGGGAGAGATTTTGTCACGTGGGAATGGACAAAGAGAGAAGCAAAAAGGACTTAAGAGCTGGCCATATACTCTTGTGCAAGGCATATGGGTCCCACAAAATAGTTTAATCACTTAATTTATCCAAAACACTTATAAATTGATGAATCGATACCTCGACATCGGATTGCGTTTTCAAAAATTTCTTATGAAAGAGGGTAATTCAAGGATTCCAAAAACCCAAACGGATTAATTTTTGGAGTTATGGAACTCCGGGAAATTGCGTTTAAAGATTTGCGTCAAAACGGCTCGTAGTGTCCATTTTCGCGACTTTTGTAAATATTTTCGTAAAAATTATTTCAAGTGTGAAATTAAATAATAGACTATAACCTGAGTCCAAAAACACTCTCAGAAATCTCGTCGGCAAAGCGTAAGTACCTCAACGGATCGATCGGTTTTACGCGATTAAAGAAAATCAGTGTTTTACTGTCTGTTTTCTTAAAGCGGTTGTATCTTTTGCATACGAACTCTGTTTTGGACGTTCTTTATATTTTTGGAAATGGGGGAACATGTACTATCATATTTTTGTATTTATTTTGCTCAAAAATGATTAATGTTAAATTTCAGTTTTCAGACGCATTAGTCAGCGCTGCAGCTGAGCGGTTTGATTTGGTTACCAGTTTACACGTTTGGGCATAATAATATCATCAAATATTATATAATAAATTAAATTAACTCATTTATATTTCATTAGATGTAGTTAAAGCTGAATAAATTAATTACGAATAGATTTGCCGTAATTTAGTCGTTTGAAATCTAGGCCCTAAATTTCGGGATGTCACACCAACATACATCTCCGCGTACTCTACTGGGTTGAATCAACTAGTTTGTTGAGTTTGACAAATTTTGACTAAAGTGTATTTTGGGTAATTTGATATTAATTTTAAGTTGGGCAATGATTTAGATAATAGGTGACGGGTAGAGCCGGTATTTAGAGCAAAGATTTATTCAGCTTTTTTTAGGTTTGAGAGGTGATTTTTCCTCACTGTACTTGTGGGTCGAAGGCACCAATATCGGCCTACTAGATTATGTATCCTAGTTATAAGATAGTGTTATGCTTGTATATGATTGATTAGTAGATCTACATGGTTATCTATATTTGTTAGCTCTATGTTTATGTTTGTTTGTTACATATGTCGACATATTATGGATGGGTTGAGGCGGTCTTGCTTTGTGCTGAAGGAAAAGTCACCCAGGGCGGTTCAGATAGGCTATAGACCCTACGAGTCGGTCCAGGCCGAAGGCCCGTAAAGTGGTCCAAATAGGTTGTAGGCCCTGCAAGGCGGTTCAGTCAGGCTAAAGGCTCATATTTGCATGCTTTGATTGTTATGTGGTGTGATGGTACTTTGGGGGAACTCACTAAGTTTTGGCTTACAGATTTAGTTTATTGTTTCAGGTACTTCTGAAGATCATAGGAAAGTAAATGCCTGATTGTGCACATCTTCATATTTTCATGATATTGACTTTTGGGACACTCTCATATGATTTTACTTTTGAAACAATGACTTTTCTTGTAAAACAATTATGGATAATGGTTGTTTTCGAAAATTTTAAATTTTTATGATTTTTGGGATGTTACAATAAGATCTAAGCAACCGAAGTTGCATTGGCCATAACCCCAAACACCTTATTAGTGAATGTTTCACGTAAGATGTCATAAGAAAAACCTAAAAAATCAGTCATAAATATTGAATGTGTACAAAAATAATATTGACTTATTTTGCAATAAAAAAAATTAAGGACTAAATGTTCAAAAAAAAATATTATAGACTAAATGCGTACAAAGTGAGAAATATATTATCCTATTAATACATTTTTTTGGTTTACCTGGAGTAACCGGTCATAAGGATTGCATGTGTACAATTTAACGAATTGAAGGGTAAATGTAGACGGAAAAAAAATTAAGTGATAGATGTATACAAATCGAAAAGCATATTACCCTTTTAAGTCATTATCTTTAATATTTATTCGACAAAATTGTAAAAGTTGTCTCAATGGTTGGTAAAAATATAAAGTTTTGATTTCAAAAGATTTGGTGGTGTATAGTGGTCCAATTTTAGATGTCTTATGTGATTTCGATTCTTATGATGACATTTTTTGTGTGGTTTTGGTCAATATCTAACTTGAAATGTCGAATACACCCTTAAATAATTCTTTTAATTATTTTCTTATTATTTTATTTAAAAAAGAAAAAAATCCCACTCACAACCCCTCCCATCTCTATCTCACTTATTCACTCACTCACTCTCACTCTCACACACACACACACATTCTCTCTCTCTCTCTCTCTCTCTCTCTCTCTCTCTATATATATATATATATATATATATATATATATATATATATATATATATCATATTTAAGCACATCAAGATTATCGTTGGAGAAGATAGTCGGTCAACCTCTACTTGACGACAACCATCTCTGACCAACCTCTACCCACCAACCACTATCTCCAACCACTTTTCATGTTTCATCTCCGACAACCACAAATTTTTATCCACAAATTAAATTGAAATTGAACCATCATGAAAAAACAAAAAAAAATCGTAAACCAGATGAAATCAGAATTAAAAATTGTAATTAACACCAAGCCAAAATCAAGAACAAACCAGGAACCTGCAACCAATATCAAAACCTAAAAATGTTTCTAGATCCAAAAATCGCCCCCCTCTGGATCCAAAAATTGAAAATGGTTTCGATATCAATTCCCCGATCAAAATGAGAGTTTACAAATGATGAATCAACGGAGGAGATAGTGAATCAGCTTCTCACGGCGATGAATCAATTTTTATTCATGATTTCAAATCCACCACCATTGACCTTTGTCATTGAGTTCAGATTGGAGTATAAGGATTTTAGAGGACAGAATGTTGCTTTGCTTCCTTACACATAGCAAGTAGCATGGGCGACAAGATGTCGGGGATGACAACTCTGGACTCACCGACGACGTTAGGAAGAGAAGGCATCGACGGGTTAAAGTTGGAAGGGAGATGTGGTGGTGGTGGGGTGGGGGATTGCGTACAATGGAAGGCGAGTGTAAATGCACCGATGATGTTGGATGGTTTTCTAATGAAGATTGTGGATGATAAACAAGTCTTGTAATTTGGGAATAGGCCAAGATTAGTGAATGGGGAAGAGAAAAGTAGTAGGGTTTTTTTTTTATTTTTATTTTTAATGTTGAAAATATTAAAATACATAATAAAAATGAAAAATAAGTTATAAGGGGATAATAGTCTTTTTAAAGTAGATAGGGACCAAAATCATTAAAATTATATCACTAATACAACACTAAATGTTTTTGGACCGAAAACATATATTTTTGACAACCAAAATACTATTTTTGCAATTTTATCTATTTATTATATAATATTGATTTATTTTTGGATTTAAAATAAAGAACACAAACTAAGAAAAGTCATCTGAATATGATGAACTGATGTTTCATTTTTTAAAACATTATTGCTATCAAAGTAGCTCCTTTCTCAAATAAAAATGTCACTTAGGGTTGTTGATATAGAGAACTTCTCTTATTTTCTCTTCTTTATTTTTTCTTTCTTTGTCAAAACACACAACATAAGTTACAAATCGTAATAAGTAAGAAGGTTAAAACCTTATTATTACCATAACTACCATTTTGTTTTTATTTATTATCAAAATAATAAAATTTGGAAAAATATATAGAAAACGTAATTATAAGACCAAACATTGAATAATCAAGATGACACGATTGAATCATTTTCATTGTCACGCTATCATTCCCCCTTCATCTTTTCATTCCATCTGTCATATGTGTTAGGGCGGAGGTAACTCCATTCCGAGCCACAAATCGATTTTTTCTCTCCCACTCCATCCCAAAACTTTGAAAATGACGATTTTTCTATCTCACAACATCCGATACATTTTCTTTTTATTAAAATGCTTAAAAATGGAGACTAAATAAATAAACTCAAAACAAACATTAAAACTAAATAAATAAATATCATACTATAAAGATACAACTAGTAGTCTAGGTTGGGTACATAAGTATTTACAATATGTTCCACAAGATCTAATCGAAGATTGTTGTGAGTTTCTTGACAACGCAATTCCTCAATAGCATCTTGATTTATTTCTAGACCTTTTTGATCAGTTGGACGATCATTTTTTAAAAACGGACATATTGCTAGACCTTCATCTTTTAAAATCATATTGTGTAATATAATGCAAGCATACATTGTATTTTTAATTTTTCTAGGATCCATTGCTCGTGCAAGGTTTCGAAATACACGCCAACTACTTTTAAGGACACCAAAAATTTGTTCCAAGTCCTTTCTTGCTGATTCATGTGTTGCATTGAACTTTTTTCGTTTATCATCGTCTAGATAGGTAAATGCTTTCACAAAAGTAGCCCAATTGGGGTAAATCTCATCAGCAAGATAATAACCATGTTTGTATTTTACTTTGTTAACTTAGATAGGTAAATGCTTTCACAAAAGTAGCCCAATTGGGGTAAATCTCATCAGCAAGATAATAACCATGTTTGTATTTTACTTTGTTAACTTGGAAAGGACACGTGGATGCGGTTCCATTTAATTCTTCATTGAATAATGGCCATTGATTGAGAACATTGATGTCGTTGTTGGAGCCAGCAACATCAAAGAATACATGCCAAATCCATAAATCTTGCGAGACTACTGCTTCGAGCATAATCGTCGGGAACTCGAGTTCACCTCTCATGTATTGTCCTCGCCATACTGTTGGACAATTCCTCCAAGTCCAATGTGTATAACCAATACTGCCTAGCATTCCAGGAAATCCATATTTTGATTCATGTGCCGCATACAAAAGTTGTATGTCACTAACACTCGGTTTACGCAAATATTCTTGTCCATACAATTGAATAATACTTGTACAAAAGTTTTGCAAACTTTCACGTGAAGTTCTTTCAGACAAACACAAGTACTCATTATATTCGTTAGGAATTGTCCCGTATGCTAGTTGACATATCGCAGATATGCATTTTTGTAACGGACTAAAACCCCTTTTGCCTCTAGCATCCCATGATAATCTAAAATATGGAAATTCTCTCTCCATATCATCAACTATTCGTAGGAATAATTCCCTTCGCATTCGGAATCCTTTTTTGAACATCTCATCACCATATACAGGATTCTCACCGAAATAATCTTGCACGAGTCGATCATGTGAAGCTTCACGATCTATTGTTGTGGTATTTATTGGCTCGCTTGAACTTGCAGTATCATGAAAAAGAAGGAATGTAGCTTGAGCAATTGTTGACAAAACGTGACTATTATGCACATATGTATTAGATGATGACTCATCCTCCGAACTTGATGATGAAGATAAATGCCAATATGAAGAATATGCAAATTCTGAACTTGATGAAGAAGATGATGAATCCATTTGGTTAAGTAATCTCACAACTTCACCTTCAATGCCACTCACCCTATGATTCCCAAAGAGAGGCAAAGAACAAATTTAATAAGGGACTTTCTTGCAATTTCAATATTTTTATTAAATTACGATTTTATTTTCTGAAAGTAACTAGAAAACACTTTTTTGTTATCATATTTTAATTCTATAATTATAACTTAATAATATACAGAATAGTGAATTAGTAAGAAAAAACATTTTATTCCATTCCATCCAACCAAACAGACCTTTTAGTGTATCATAAATTTTAAAAAAGATTGCATGACTTACTTTGAACTCTGAAGTTTTCTTTTCTTGGAAACAGTTTCTACAGATGAAGATTCATCTTCCAACTTTTCCTCTTCATTTGGTAGAAGAAGCATGGCATTATTTACAGGTTCCTTTCTGTTGACTTCCACATAGTCAACCAAATTACCTGCATCTACCCCCTCTATTGCTTCAGCCAAACCCATCTCTTTCCTTTTTACACTGAAGTAACAAACATATGTCCACTTTTTAAAGATCCAGTTACATGTTTATATAAAAAAAATAAAAAATTAAGCTGACCAAAGAATTTCCTTGTCCTTCAGGATTCGAGTTGACTCAGATGGTGGTAATACAAAGCCATCCATCTGCAAAAGAAAAAAGTTATAAAATTCACTACAGTTTCATTTTTTCATCTCCGTTTGTAAAGTACTAGGTTAGATGTAACATCACATTCACATCCTAAATTACTTGTGATTCTCAACTGTGATCCCTTTATGAACTGAGAATTTAGCTTGCATAACTGAGAATTGTAAACAGATGCTAGCAAAAGAGCTCTGCGTGAAACAAACAAACCTAATCGGAATGCCATTGACACCCTAAACGACGGATTGTTAATTATCAAGAAAGGTTCTCTGATTAATTTGTTATTATCTTTTTAAATGAAACTGAGAAGAATATATTTAATTTTTACGCCAAATTAGCTTTGAGAGAAAACTCATCGCTTTCGTTGATATGCAATTTAGAGTGAAATTAGGTTTTGTGCATTTCTGCATTAGCATCGATAGATTGGGGTAGATAGGGAAAGAGATGTACGTAGAGGAGGATGCCATTAGGGCACGAAGCATGAAGGTTGAAATTGTGAAGAAGATGATTGCAGACGTCGGAGATTTTCTGATGTTGGTTTGGTTCGACTAGAAGCCAACTCTGGTTCATACCGTCGGATCGCTGTGTTTCGCTAAGAAGTGAACCATCCTCGAACACCAAACGAAGCCTTATCGACTGCGTCTCCATTTGTAACACCACTTGGATAGAGCACAAGTAAGCCTTAAAAACCCATCAATCGTCATCATAAACCTAAAACCCCGGTGTCAGAGCTGGTGAATAGTGAATAGAGACCGGTGTTTGAGATTGTTTATTTAAGCTGAATCTCAAAGAAGGATAATTATTTTTTTGTTTTTGTTTTTTTTTTCGTATTTATCTAAATTTTTTTTTATATATATTTAAGTAATAAATTCATTGGAAGTGTTTATAAGTGGGAAAAATAGTTACACAAGAGGGTAATTTTTTTTTTCCATGTTCGACCATTCAACTTTTTAAAGTTTTTCGTATAATAGTATTGTTTCAGAAATTTAAATCGGTCACCAATTATTACCCTTAATATACTAAATTACTAATACCCATACAAAAACTCTTAATATATATCAAATAAGAAAACACAATCAACCTACTAACACATAGTAGCATATAAATCAATTATCTAAACTATGCTACTTTCCAGTTGAACCGGTCAATTCAACCAAGAATTTCCCTACATCAGGTATGAACCGATCTAATGACTAGTTTCCAGTTTGAACGTCAATTCAACCAAGGATTTCCTTACATCTGGTGAACTGTGCTGGTGACTAGTTTCCGGTTCGACTGTCGGTTCAACCAAGAATATTCCTACATCTAACGATGGTGTGTGTCAACCTTAGAGTTGTGTACAATCCGAAAAATATCATATTTACTTGGAAATGGAATGTGTGAAGCGAAATTCAACTATATAAGTCCAATAAGCATGTTCCAACGGTTTTTTTACCGGTTTCATTACACCGGTTCATGCAGGTTTTTGAAGATTCTGTCTCGTTCAATCCGGTTTAAAATTGACATAAAATCGGTCATTGTTGAACCACTCCCATCACCGGTTTCCGATCCAACCAAATCGATCGGTCAGTTTAAACCGGTTTTTAAAACATTGATTTAGACCCTTAAGATGTATTTAAAGGAAATATCTTAGTGTATTTAGACCATTTAAAAATTTCACCTTGGTGATATCGAATACGCCTAACTTTTCGACATCACCATGGTGAAATTTTTACATGGTCTAAGTACACTAAGGTATTTCCATTAAATACACCTTAAGGGTCTATGTAAACTAAGTACACATTTAAATTTATGAAATAATGACATTATATGAACAACTTTAACAGATTTTATGGTCGAATGTAAATAAAAAAAGGAAATTGTCTAGATGTGAACAAAACTAATAATTCATTACCCTCCTGGGTAATTGTCTTTGACACGCTAACCACTTGGGTTGTTGTGACTTGGTAAGATATGTGGAAGATACAGTGGATAACCTATTGATCCATGTTCAAATCCAGACACTACTCAATCCTTGTAGATATGGAGGTTCTCATGCAGTGACTCCATGACATGAGGCAGAGCCTCATGTTCGCAACAGATGATTAGTCAGTGCGCGAAAGCTGAGTCAGAAACCCTCGTTAGAGAAGTTCCCTTTCCAAAAAAATTATATATTTGCCATGTATAGGCCACATGTAACAATTGATAAAAGTAGGTCAAAGTTCGTCAGTCAAACCACCATGAACACAAATGTAAAATGACCTATTGTATAGTATTCTTTGTTCTTAAGTGCAATTGAAGTCATTATATTTAAATTTTCATAAGGAATACCTTGAAAATTCTCAAACTTGACAATCATTAACAATCAAAAAACAATTCACAAAATGAGTGATTAATGCCTTAAAAATAAAATTTTATCATTAAGTACATTTGAGAACTATAGATAAATTATTTGAATTGATTATGTTCACCTGATTTCGTGGATATAAAGAACATCCAAAACGAAAATCGTATGAGGAAGTTATGCTCATTTTTAGTTATAAAATAAGTATTTATCTGATTTTTCTGAAACAAACTGTGCATTGCTTCGTTTGAAATAGCTAAAAACCTCGTAAAAGCATGTTTTTGAACTCAAATACGGTCTATTATTTTATTTCAGTTTTATCAAATTTTTAATCTCGACGAAAATCAAATTCGTAAAATCTGTCCAATCTGAAACAATTAATCACGAAACTTTAAACGCTATTTCCTGGAGTTCTATATATCAAAATTGAATTCCTTCTGCATTTTTGGAATCATCACGACCGAGAAAATAAGCAAACACTTTCGAAAAAAATTATAGGATTGAATAAGTATACGAGAATCGAGGAAACGAGAATGGAAAACATCACCAAATCTTGAAAAGTAACTTGCATATACTTGTTTATCTAGGTAAAACTTCTAAAAATCTAAGAAAATCTCCATAAATTTGATCTATTACATAAGAGATCCTAGGAGTACAACCAAAATCTTTCCAAAATCATAAGAATACTTATGCATGTGTGAGTATATTTCGTGTAATTCTTAAAACCCAAGTATCTACCTAAAACTATATCTCCCATATCTCGATTTAAAATCAACTACATGTGCTAGAAGATCATTTTTGTACAAACCAATAAAATTAAGATCACTCAATATCTCTATCCCTCACTCACGATCTTCTTCACCCTCTCAACTCTTTCAATATCCTGTCTCTTATTGCAATGGTAAAGAAGAGGTTTGCTGGTAATCATCATCAGCCATTCCAGCCTCATCCTCCCTTCTTTCTTCAACAAATAGCAATAACCAAACACCCTCTGAAGATCGATGCTCCCTTTTGCCTACTCCCCTTCGTGTTTTCTACTAATCGGACCAGGTAGGAACCGCCAAGAGACCACCGGAGCAGCCCCTAGTTGCGACCGTCGATGGCAGACCTTGCTGCTTTCATTTCCCTTTTTCCTTCAAAACAATCAAGCACTGGTGGTGCTCCCTTCCTTGCACAATAGAATCGCCACCACCATAGCCACCACTACTATTAGCGACAACCACCAGTTGCGACCTCCGATTTCCCCTCTTCTTGTAACATCCCGTATAAAGTAGAGTAATTAATTAGTAAACTCAGAACCGAGAGGTAATTTTTATTATTATTTTATATTATTATAGCTCAAATTAAAAAATAATAATTAGCGGGGTGTTGGTTTCGGGAAGCCAGATGGCAAGGATTGAGTCTTCAGGGGTTAAAGTGTAAGTTCAAGATTTATTTTGTAAGGATTTATGAAGACAGGGGTTGTTTGGTAAATATTGGGCTTAGATTGAAAAGATTTTGGAAGCTAGGGACTAAAAGGTAAATTTTGGACCTATATTGGGAACAATTTGTCATAAAGGGGTCAAATGGTAAATTTGGGATTTAAAATTAAAGGAAAAGGAGAAGGAGGGCGGGTTGTGTCAATATGGGAAGAAGTTTTATGTGAGGCGGGTATATATCGGGCGCCGTTGCCGGGGAACGGTTCTAAATAATTAAGCTAATTCCTAATTTTTTCGATCCTTTGTGTGAGTTTACTTGCATAAAGTTCATTTATTGCAATTTAGTAACTAGTCATTAGGTTTTAGTATCTGTTTTAGTTAGGTTAAAAACTTAGTTTATTTTTGAAATATCATTGATACTCGCCGAGTGCACTCGCACCTACTCGGCGAGTAACAGTTTAGTTAAAAAAAAAAATTATTTGTTTACAATCGTTTTGTTCTTTTTACGTTTTTATTTGATCAATTTCAGGACTTTCATGACCAGAGGAGCAAACACACCACTGGTACCCCCGTTTGAAGACCCCGAATCCGAATTGAAAAGAAACAAAGGGAAGGACTTGGAGAGTTCAAGCACACCAAAGAAATCACCATTGTCCAACTTGAAGACTGTTTTTGGGAAAAAGAAGAGCAGCAAATCAGGAGCTTCAAGCGCTTCCTTGATAATTGAGGAGCCAATTCAAGAAGATGCCTACAAACATTTGGATGAAGTAAATGATGTTGCTGATTACTTCAACATTCCAAATGTAACCCGCGAAACTCAACTACTTCGGATGCTTCCGGTAACCTTCAAGGGTGCTGCTAAAGACTGGCTCAAATCACTTCCTCCCGGGTCAGTCACTACTTGGGGCAGAATGAAGGAAGAATTTATTGATCACTTTTGCCCACCATCCAAGATAGCCAAACTCAAGAAGGCCATTGCAAACTTTGAACAACAAGCTGGAGAGTCGTTATATGAAGCATGGGAGAGGTACAAAAGTCTGCTACGAAATTGCCCACACCATGATCTAAATAGCCAACAAGAAGTTTCCATCTTTTATGATGGAGTCAATGTCACGACCCGGCAGCTGCTAGACTCACAAGGCCCACTTACAAAGAAGCCACCCCCGGTGATCAAAGAATTAATTGAAGAATTCTCTAAACACTCTAGAGAATACCACAACCCTAGGAATGATGTCACGAGGGGAGCCGCATACGCTGCTACTGAAGATTTATCCGCGGTCATGGCCATGTTAAAAACCATGGATAGGAGAATGGACAAAATGGATCAAACTATCCATGCCATACGGGTGGGTTGCGAAAATTGCAATGGACCTCACCTCACTAGAGATTGCGATTTGGATGAGAACGGCAACAAAAAGGCACAAGTATGCTATTCGAGCAGTGACCGGTATGATGAGGACTGGCGCAAACAAAAGAAGGAGTGGCTGCCTTACGAAGAGTACAAGAAGGCCAAGGAGGAGAAGTACAGACAAAAAGGGAGAGGCTTTTACCAAAAGGAGGAGCCGGTGCAAGAGAAGAAGCCAAGCTTGGAAGAAATGCTAACTAAATTTGTGGCTGCTTCCGAGAAAAGACATAGTGACCACGATGCTGCTATCCAAGAAACAAGAACAATGCTCAGGAACCAGCAAGCATCCATCCACAACATAGAAACACAGCTTGGGCAACTTGCTCAACAACTAAACCAAAGGTCACCGGGTGAGCTTCCTAGCAAAACCGAGAACAACCCACGAGGCGCGCAAGTAAATATTGTTACCACAAGAAGTGGGAAGATTATTACTCCCCTGGCCCCCATTCGAACTGAAGCGAACAAGGACTCACTGAAGGAAGGAACGGAAGTACAAGTCGAAAACCAACACTCACAATCTGAGAGCCCTACTCGCCGAGTAGGACCGATGGACTCGGCGAGTACATCTGCAAAAACAAAAGAACAGCCACCCTTGAAACCATACCAGCCTCCAATGCCATACCCAGCCCGAGC